GGGCCTTAGAGGGCCCGATTCAGGGGCCATGCCTGGGAGGGTCCTGGTGGAGCTCACTGCCCCCCACCCTCTCACTGGCCCTGGTCGCCTCACCCTCTTGCTTCTGCTTGGGGGACTCAGGGCTTCATTCCAGCGGGGGCACCACAGTGACCACCATTTTCGGGGCCATCTCAGTATTGCCTGGGGGGCCACCCCTCCTTCCCCCACCCCCCAAGTGCCTTTGTTCTCTTTTTATACCCTGAAACGGAGGTTTATTTTTTAATATATATTATCTAAGAAGAGGTCTGTGTGTATGTGTGTGAGGGGGTGGGCGGGGGCCTCATCTGCTGCTCTGGCAGTGCCTTCCCGGGTCTGCACCCCACAGGCCCGCGAGACCCGCTGTCTTTCGCTAGTGGTCACACATTCAGCAGTTACCATCGCACCCCCTGTGTCCCCCACGGCGCTGAGGGGCAAGCCACAGCCCACTCTCATTTCTGGTCTTTATTTTTTGTAGTAAACTCTGGAGGTGACTGTTTGTGGGAGGCTGGTGGGGGGAGGGCCCCTCCTGGGTGGGGGCTGGGGGCGGGGTTATTGCTCTGAGCTCCCTGTCCTCAGGGGGGCCTGTGTGGGGAGAGGTTCAGAGACGCTGCACATACACGGAAGTCACAGCACGGGGGTGGGTGGGCAGGGAGGCTGGGCGCCATATTGCACTTTGGGAGTGGGGCTGGGTGGGGATCCCCCTCCAGCTGGGTCCCAGGGAGGAGGCCTAAGGGGCCATCACGTTCCCTGGCCCTCTGGAGGGGGAGGCGGGAGCCCCATTCTGTACTTGGGGAAGGAGCCCGGGGGCCACAAGGTCTCTGGCCTTAGGGGGTGCTGAAGGTGGGGCCTGGGCCTTGGTGGCGGGGCCAGAAGAGCCTCAGAGGCGGGGGCCCCAGCCTGGCGCCCACCCCCTGCTCAGCTGCCCATCCCCCCTTTGCCTGCCTTGACCTTGGGAGGCGCAGGGAGGCCCTCTTCGCCCTCACTGTCCGAGCTGCAGCCGCTGACATCAGTAATTTCCAGCTCCGAGTCGCTGTTCTTCCCTCCCAGCGAGGGCTCCGGGCCCCCAGCCCCTGGCAGCGCCAGCCGGGGGGCCACTGCCAAGCTTGAGGGGCGCTCGAGGCCTGGGCCTTCACCAGTGGCCGCCAGCAGAGGTGCAGTTGCAGGCCCTCCACCAGACCCTGCTGAGGGCAGGTGTCCCAGGGACCCAGCCAGAGGGTTGGGGTAGAAGTGGGGTGGGTACAGAGAGGGGGACAGCTTGGGGAAGGGGCCGGTGAGGTAGGGGTTAAAGTTCCAAGGATACTCTGGGAAGGAACGGCCATAGGGACCCAGCAAGCTTGGTGGCTTGGAGTAGCCAGTGGCACCTGGTGAGGGACAGGAGTGTCAGACCGGGTCACCCTATGCGGAGCCCAGCTGCACAGAGATTGGCAAAGGCTGCCCCCTCCTGCCCTGCCCATCAGCTTCCCACCCCACAGGGCCCTGAAGCATCTCCTGCTACCCACTGTCATTACCTCCCTGCTTAGCGCCGCCACACCCTCCAGTCTGCCCCCCTTGCCCTGCACCCCACCCACATGCCCCTTGGCATGGCCACCACCCCATGCACGCCCTGCCCCAGCCACCGGCGCTCTCACCAGAGCCCAGGAATGGGAAGGCGCTGTCCAGGCGCAGCTTGTCCGTCTCAGGGGTGAACAGGGGCGTGCGTGCCCCCGGCTCTCCCAGCCGTGGGGCAGAGAACAGGCTCTGCAGGGTCTGCAGAGCAGGTCGGTGGGGCTCAGGCAGATGCCCACCCCCAGAACTCACCAAGCACCCCAGGCCAGGACCCCGGTATGCCAACTCACCTCGGGGGTGAGGGGAGGCGCATCTGGTCCAGGGGTGCCCCCAAAGGGGCCAGGGGCCAGCAAGAGGGGGGAACCGGTGGCGGCGGCTGCCACGTCCAGCAATGGGTAGTTGACCAGCACGACTTTGCTGAAGTTGAACTTGTATGTGAACCTCTTCCCCTTGGTCTTGTGAAGAATCCGCTTGTTGTAATAATAGCTGTGGGGCAGAATAGGGCATGCTGGGGTGTGGGATGGAGTCTAGGGAGGTGATGGGGAGGGGCCTGCCACCCTTTCCACTCATAACCACCCTGTTAGGGTTGCTGGGGCAGCCAGCCTCGTCTTTCTCCCGAGGAGCGGCTGGTGGGTTTGAACCACCAACCTTGCAGCTAGCAGCCAGATGTTTAACCCACTGCTCCCTGTTGCGGCACACAGCACCACAATCTGGAAACGGAAGCTCCAAGAAGGCCCTTCACCCAAGGTCACAGAGCAAGGGAGGGATAGAGGGGAGAGCGCGGGGAGGCTGTCCTCTGTGACACCCTCCACCCACCCACCCCCAGGACTTCCTCTCAGTCTGCCCTCCATTCGCAAGCAACCATCAGGCTTACACTGGGGCAGAGCCCAGGGTGATGGGAGATGGCCCTGGGGGAAGGGACACAACCCAAGGGAAGAAGGGGGCCAGGTGGGAAGCCAGGCCCCAGCCCCTCCTCACCGCAGGGCCCGGCTCAGCTTGTCATAATTCATGTGCGGCTTGCACTTGCGGACGCCCCAGAGGCGGGCCACCTCGTCGGGGTCCTTGATGACGAACTCGCCATAGTCCCCCTGCCAGGCGATGACTCCCTGATACTCCTCCTTCTGCAGCAGCTCCAGGATAAAGTGCCACAGCTGGATCTGCCGAGAGCCCGGGGACGACTCCGGCTTGTAGGCCCAGTCCGGGAAGGCAAAGCCTGGAGCACAGAGGCAGGGGGGTGGCCCCAGGTCAGGACTGGACCCCAGGTCTGACCCCAGGGTCCTGACACCAGATCCTGACTGAGCAGCTCCCCAGCTGCAGACTGATACCTCCAGGAACCAAGCCCCCGCTCGGCAGACACCACCTCTCCCGGCCTGGTCTCTAATCCCAAGCAGTCTGTCCCCATCCTGTCAGACAAGCCTGTCCCCTGGGGGCCCTGGGTGGGCCCCTCCTGCTGGATCGACCAACTTCACCATCTCTTGGGGGGAGGCCGTTTTTCTGCATCCTGATTCCCCTGCCAATGTCAGCTTCTCCCCCGGTGAGGTCTCTAAAATGCCCCTGTCCCTTGTCCCCTGTGCCATCTCCACCCTGGCACATTCAGGCTGACACTGTGTCCACCCCCGAGCCTCGGTTCTGATCAGTGATTTTCTACCTTTCAGATTCCCGTGTCCCCTCACACCCATCGAGGTCCGCCCAGCTGAGGGCGGTCCAGGGTGGGTATGCGGGCATGTGTGCCCACGGCTGCCCTCAGCAGACAGCATGTCACGCACACATCTGTTCACCCACGGGAGCATGCCAGAGGGCCACACCCCTGCTGGCAGAAGCCACACAACACACCATCCAGGCAGACACACCAGGTCCTCACCACCACCCAGCACTGCATACTCTGATTCACAGCACAATCACATCTGTCACTGAAGGCCCAGCCACAGCCCAACCACACACACACACACACAAGGCCCAAGTCACACCCAGTGTGATGGAGACCATGAACTAATACCAAGACCCCCTGTGTCCACCTCAGGCCGCCTCAGCAGCAGCCTGACAGGCGCCCCCAGGTGACAACATTGGGGGGAGGGGGGCCCAACCTGCTACACATGCAGGCACCCACGGCCCCAAGCAGACCACACTCCCTCCTGTCACCCAGACACCCCAGCTGCCATGTGGAAACAAACACCTCACCCCCAGCTCTGCCCCAAGCCCCATCCCTATACCACTGCCTCTGGCGTCCCCAGCCCACCTCAGAGACCCCAGACCCAGGTGCACAGAGTAAATCCTTAAGAAGCTGAAAAGCAAGATGTGCAGGAAGGGGGAGAGGCAGCTGGCATGTGGGTGGGGGTCTGGGATGATACCAGGCTGGGCTCTGAATCCCCACAGTGAAGCCCAGGATTGGCACCCACTCACAGACCGTCCAGATGCACCCAGACATGGCTGGGCATGTCCCACATCACAGGACAGATCTGAAAGGAATCGGAGAAGGCTGACCCTGCTGGTGAGCTGGGCAGATGCCCACCCTACCCCACCCTGTTCACACGCCCCACAGGCATGACATACCTGGCCCAGAGACAGACAGATGTCATAGACAAATACACACACACACACACACACACACACACACACACACACACACACACCATTTGTGCCGTCCAGGGTACAGGCTCAGATGCTCAAATCAGCCTTCCCGTGGAGTGAGCGCCCACTTCTAATTCCTTGGTCCTCCCCTGCTGGTCAGGTCCTATCTCTGAGCTGAGCAGTTCAGGCAAGTGCCCCCCAATCTCCATCCCTGTACCCCCAGGACCTGTCCCCACCCCACCCCGCACCTCCTCCACAGCACTGAGACCACACCCCTATCCCTCTCCCACCCTCCAAAAGACCCCCAGCTCCCCACTCCCCACAGACAGGCTTCAGGGGATCCAGCTGGGAAGTTTTTAGTCAAGTTTCCGGGGCGGGGGGCACACTGATTAACACCCAAAAGAGAGACCTGGAGGGAGTAAGTGGGGACACCAAGCTAGAAGGGGCAGGGGACTGGGGCCAGTTACCAGGGGTCCAGAGAGCCGGCAGGGCGGGTGGGGCGAAGAGAAGGTCTGAGACGCAGCTACAGTCCATGATGGAGTCGGCCCTGCAGAGGGGCCAAGACAGACACACACGGGACAGACAGGTGTCAGCAGGGCCACCACCCCACCCCACTGCCGCCCACCCAGACCTTCCTGGGCTCGGCCCTGCTTCGGCTCCCTGCCTGTGCCTCCCTCTTCACCGCCTCCTCCCTCCCTCGCTGGCTCTCTCTCCCTCCGGTCCGTCAGTCCACCCTTCTGCCGGTCTGTCTGTCCTGATCTGATCTGATTTCTCCTCATCTGTCTCCCTCCTGCTGGCCCGGGAGTAGAAGGGGGGTTTCATTTCCTTCCTGATTTTGTCCCTTGCCCAGCAGACCCGCGGGTGGCTCATCCAGTCCCCATGCATCCCTCACTCTTCTCTGGGGACCTCAGACCACACTGTCTGCTGCCCATCCTCACCCCAGCTCAACCTGCCCGCTCCACCGAGCAGCATCCAGCCCCCCACATATGAGCTTCCACCACTGGACACTCCTTCCTCAGACGCCCAGATCCCGCTTCTTGGATCTGCACCCCCTCAGACACTCCTGCACTCAGGGGTCGGCCTCCCCCTCCTCATACAGGCCCTCCCTCTCAGATTCCTCCCCCCCCCCCACCTTTCCCCCTCCTCAGATACCTTATCCGCTCAAACCCTGTTCCCAGACAGGGTTCCTTTCCGCCAGCCACCCAGCCACGGGCTCAGGCACCCACCCCAGACTCTCCATCCCTCAGTCTTTAGACCCAAACTCAGATGCGTCCTCCAGCCTAGAGACCACTCCCCCTTCAGACCCCACCTCTCAGCTGCAGCACTCAGTCAGACACCCCCCCCTAAATACTCCTCTAGATCCAGGCCATTCCCTTCAGTCTCCCTGCTCCTCAAAGGCCCCCCTCGGAACCCAGGGGCTTCCCAGACACCCCGCTTCCACATTAACCTAGCCTCCCCCTTCCCTTCGGACACTGGACAAGACTTTTCAGGAATTCCGTTACCCCTCAGATTTATTCAGCTCTCCACAGACACCCTGAGTTCCCTTCAGCTCTCAACACCCCCAAAACACCCCAGCTCAAGCCACACACGGGCTTTCACTGCCCTGACCCGGACAGACTCCCCACCCTGGGCCTCCTGGCATCTTGGGGATCTCGTTCATACACTCCTCTCCCACCCCACGGCTCAGGGCAGCACCCCCCCCTCAGTTCTCCCTCCCCAAGCCCACATGTGCCTCAGCACCCACGCCTCCCTCACTCAGCACCGGGCTCCTGAACCCCCTCCCCATATTCCCACCTGTCTCTCCCCCTCACAGTCTCTCAGGTCTCTCCCTGTCTCTGCATTTCTCTTCCCCTCTCTCTCTCCGTGTCTCTCCGCTCCTCCGTCCGCTTCTGTTTGCTTCTTCGGTCCCCCCACCCCACCCCGCCCCAACTCCCCTCCACGCGGACGCGGCGACCCCTCTCCCCCGCCCTGACCGCCCTCCGTCTCCCCGCACCGGCTCTCCGGCCAGAGTTGAGGGTCCCACGTCCCCCTCCCCTCTCCTCCCCGTCCGTCCGTCCGTCTCCCGCTCCACCACCGGCCCGTCTCCCCAGCGCCCGGTGCCCGGGACGGGGGTCTCTCCCACCCTGCGTCCCTCGCCTTCGCCCCTCTCCATCCCCGCCTCTGCCCCGCTCGCTCGCTGCGCGCACCTCCCCGCTCCTCTGTCGCTCGCTCGCTCCC